TCCTTCTTCTCCTTCTTCTTCTTCTTCTTCTTCTTCTCCTTCTTCTCTCCTCCTCCTCCTCCTCCTCTTCTCTTCTTCTTCTCTTCTTCTTCTTCTCTTTTTCATCTCCTCTTCTTCTTCTTCTTCTTCTCTTCTTCTCTTTTTCATCTCCTCTTCTTCTTCTTCTTATCTTTTTCATCTCCTCTTCTTCTTCTCTTCTTCCCTTTTTCATCTCCTCCTCCTCCTCCTCTTCTTCTTCTTCTTCTTCTCTTCTTCTCTTTTTCATCTCCTCTTCTTCTTCTCTTCTTCTCTTTTTCATCTCCTCTTCTTCTCTTTTTCATCTCTTCTTCTCTTCTTCTTCTTCTTCTTCTTCTTCTCTTCTTCTTCTTGGTGTGAAAGTTTATAATAATGATAGGGTGTATTTTAGTGCACATTTTCTACGATTTTACTGCATAAATCCATACATATATAATAAAATACTAAAAATTATGAATCTGGCCCCTATAATTTGCAACAACACTACAAAGTTACAATTTATATATGCATTACAAAGTTGAATTAACTTATTGAAATTCATTTCTTTTATAATATAATTTCCTTTACTATTTTTATTTTGGATATCCCACCTCATTAAAATGCCAAATTCTGGTGAATGTTTCAATTATGTGAATAAATATTTCTATATATTTTTTCTCTTGCAAATCTCACTTTTTTGTCTCTTACACGCAATGAATATTTTCAAATAAAGTGTCATTTCTCTAACTCTTGATGAATATAAATTACTTATCTGACTATAAGATGATCCCCTAACTATGAATTTTGAACTAATTCTTACTATTAAGTCACAGTAAAATAGTTAATTGTATTATTGATTAGAACATTATGAGGTTGAGAAAGTTTCTTCCTGTGCTGATTTCTTCTTTCTTATTATCATCCATTGTGAGTGTTTGCAATGACTTCAGTGTCTTCAAATAACATTAAAAATCCTAAATGCAGTCCATAATAAAACTGGATGCTTAAACAGATTTGCTGAGTATGAAATATTTCATGATGATATAAACTTGAAAATTAATGGGTATGAAGTGAAAATCAAAAACTTCAGAGCAAAAGTTATGGTATGACACACCTGGGTTCTGATAATATTTTCAAACAGATTTCTGACAGGAAATCATGTAAAAATAATTTGATAGTTTATTACAATAAGAAAACCTATACTCTAAACTAAAGAGGAAAATTTAAAATCGGATGAGATATCTTTATTGGTAATTTATAGTAGATTTCAAAGTATTAATATTATTGATTTTAAATGTTTTTAATTGTGAAATACTTTTTGTGGTAAATAAAAGTGTTATGAAAATAACTGATATTTTCAGGTGTCTGTAATACCGGCCGTTGTGTGAATTTGGATGAGAGTTTCCTGTGCTATTGCCCTATGAATAAGACTGGTGAGAGATGTGATGAAGAAATTTCAATTTCCCAACTTCGCATGGGAGACAATTCATATATTGCATACCCTACTCCCACAAGGGCTATGAATCAGTAAGTATTGTGAAAAGATGATATTGTATTCTCTTTCAATACAAATTGTCAAACCCAACAACATTTTATATATAAAGTCATAATAAAGATTTTAATATAGTATACAATTACATGAAACATGCATAGTTCCTGCTCCAAAGGAAGTGTAATGAGAGGGACATTCTTGTCAGTATGATTTTATGGCACACGTTGACAGACAATTCAAAAATGTGATGAGACAAAGGTGTTCTTTAAAGTGATGGAGGAAGTCACTTCAGGTATATAACGTACAGTTTTAGATAATATTCAGTAAAAATTTTGAATTTGCAAGTGAACAAAACACACACACACAATAAACAAACAAACAAACAAACAAACAAACAAATATGTATGACCACACCCTGAATATTAGAACACATGCATACATCATATCTACTTTGTGAACCTACTAGAATGGATGTATGCACTTCCTTCATATACATTACCTGCAGTTCAACTCTAACTTGAATAACACCCTATTATTCCAACATTTTTCTTTATGTGCAAATTCATGCATAATTGAAGTGGTCAAGGCAAGGTAAAGATAACCCATATTTCACACATTAATAAAATTTTGTAATGTATTCATTGAAAATAATTCATTCATCTTTGTAATGTTGTTCATTGTAAATCATATATTTTGAAAAAAATGTTTCCATGTCAGTCCCTTCAATTATAGAATTTTCAGAACATTCACTGTTCCTCTTAAATCAGTTTTTCGTGTCTCTCTTGTTGGCCATGTATTATCACATAATTTGTTTCATAGTGTTATCACATAATTTTATTACATTTCAGGCTCTCATTTGAGATGAAAGTGAAACCAGAATCTTTGGAGGATGGTCTTCTGGCTTATTGCAGTCAGGATGAAGCTGGCCGTGGTGACTTTATTTCCTTAGCTGTGCGCGACAAGCATATTGAATTCAGATTTGATACTGGCTCTGGTAAGTTATAAGTTAAGAATGCTGATATGATCCATTTGATGTCTGACAGCTTAATACAAAAAGTTTTTAGGGATAATGTTAAATGGATAAACAGCCAGTGTGTATCACAAACTTCTTTCTAAGCTTTTGAAAATATTTTATTATGAACATTGTTACTTAATGAACTTAAATAAAAATTTGTTTATTATGAAAATAATTTAAAAATTTTTTTGTTGCTTTTATGGGACTAATACAGTTTTGTTTTGGAAGTTATAAAGATTGAAAGAGAGGTTTCAGTATTTTCTTGTATTCATACTATTATTTTAATATTACACAGTATAATAATATACCTTTTTCTGGTCTTTGTATGTGCATTAGGTCCTGCTGTGATGCGAAGTTCCCGGGAGTTAGTGCCTGGCCAATGGATAACTATCATGGCAAGACGACACATGCGACTAGGCCACCTGTCAGTGGAAGGGGAGCCTCAAGTAAAAGCCTTGTCTCCTGGAACCACTGGAGGGCTAAATCTTCGCTCCTTGCTCTTTATTGGTGGTGTGGATCCACAGCGAGTGCGTGTTGCTCCTGGTGTCAACGTATCTACTGGATTCCATGGATGTATCTCAGAGGTAAGTTGTATTTAACCTTAATAGCATACATCAATTAAACTATTCCCCCTGGAAACTGTCACCTCTACGACCCTTTTATACACTTTGTCACACAAAGAATAGATACATATTCAGAAGCATTTCAATGCAATATTCTTCATAGAAGCATTTAATGTGATAGTCTTAATTAAAAACAGAAATATAAAAAATGTCAAAAGTTCAACCTCTTTGCAAACCACTTTTACACTTTCATTATTAACCCTCCATTACACTCGCATGAACTGAGACTCTGTCCTCTTATATTTTTGTGTCTCATTGGCATTTATCAGGAGGTATTGAGCTGCAGCTTCCTGTATCTTCTTCAGCCATGGTGACTTATTGATAGGTGTTAAAAAAACTTTTTCAGTTGTTGTAGCTGTTGCTCACTGGAGAATATTTAGTGATTTAGGCATCAATCCGCATGCATGTGTTTGTGCTATAAGTTCTACTTTCACATTTCTTACGTATGTTACTATTGAAACATAGTATTTAAGATTTAAACAAAATGTTTATTTCCCTAATAGTTGATCAATGTTTAACTCTGGGAGAAGTGCATGAATTTTTTTCTATTATAAAAATTGTATAAAATATCAAATTATTTGCGTTTCAACAACTTCAATTTTGTGGCAGATTTATGGTTCAATTAATTATAAATACACAGAGTTATTCAATAAAACTTCAATCTCTAATATTTTCTAATCTAAATGGTTCAAGATATTACTTTTAAATTTTCACCAAACAATTTAGGGCATAAGGCTTGTCATTATTATCATTTTGACAGCATTTTTTATTTTGAATATTTTGAAGAAAATTGTTTTTTCTTAAAGTATCACTGTTGTTAATAATAATAATAATAATAATAATAATAATAATAATAATAATAATAATGATGATGATGATGATGATGATGATGATGATGATGATGATGATGATGATTTTGCATTGTATATTGTTCTCCATTTTCTAATATTTTTTTAAAAATCACTGTATGCAAAGAAATATGTTATCACAAATCAACAAAAATTTCATTAAATATATATTAATCCAATGAAAATACAAAAATTAATCCCAACAATTGATTGATATTTTTGCAATACAAAGTCCATTTCATATTAAATTAATAAATAAAAAAAAAATTAAAAAAAAAAACCTATAAAAACAGCTATTAAATTTGGCAGAAGGTAGTGGTTTAAGTTTGCAGACTGTTAGTCTTCGTGCATGTACTCTCATCACAAACATAGTGCATGTAATGGAGGGTTAAATAAATGTATTTCTTTCTTACTCTTAGTGTAATCCGTTCTAAAACACTAGATCTTTAAATCATTTCGTATGAACTTTTATCAAAATATTAGTAGTTTTTGCAAAAGGTTGAATCAAATTGTGTAAATTTTCCTCAAGCAAGATTTTCTCACAAACACCTCAACATTTTTTCCGTACATTTTTTATAATAATAGAGCAGAATCCACTACATTCTATGTTCTAAATGTCATTTGCATTAAAAATTTTGTATTTTTAAAAATTAGAAATGTATTTGCTTTTTGGCTTTTAAATTGTGGAATTACTAAAATTGAATAACATATAGTTGCAATAAACATGGAAACCTATGCTCTCAAATCCAACGCACAGAGGCAATTAACATAATTATATAATAGGTCGATATAGGTCGAATAGTGTTCTGAAAGTAAATCCATAGCAGAACACAGAAACATACGCATTGTATACGTCTTTGGCATGAGTTCAGCTAGTACTTTAAACATATCCATTACGAATAGTGTGAGCAAGGATGCTCTGTTAGCACTAGTAGTATCTTTATCTGTAAATACTGTATCATTGTTTACTGATCTTTTACTTCTGTTGTAAATTCTGAAGTCCTTTTCTGTAGACCAAACTTAGCATTTTCTTTTAATTATTTGCAGGTTAAAGTGGGAGGAGTACAACTTGATTTACTTGGAGGTGCAGTAGATGCTGGTAATGTTAAAGACTGTTCTGCAGACACTCCGACTGCAGCTTTTTCTCAAGATCGTCAATGTAGATACCAACCATGTCATAATGGAGGAACATGTATTGCTGGTTCTGGAACTACTTACTCCTGTATTTGTCCAAAAGGTTTCAGGTAAAAAAATCTGTAAATAAATGTTATACACCTTTCACTCCCTGTTTATTACTCAATCACCAGAATTGAATTGAATTTTTGAATTGAATTGAATTTTTCTTTTTAATTTGTAAATTGTAGTGATGTAATATATATTTGAAAACAAGTGCAAATTCATGCGTAACACCTTGTTTGGGTACATTTAATTGAACCAACATTAAATTTGAATTGTTTCATTGCTTATTAATTTTTTATTCCATTTTTTTCTGGCTCTGTTGTGTTAATTCTGGAAATGTGCATAAACTTTTTTCAATACATTTGAAACTAACTGAGCTCCCTAAAACAATCTTGTAGTGGGAAGACGTGTGAATTGAAAGCTGACATGTGCCAAGTCCTTCAGCCATGCCGCAATGGAGGAACTTGTGAAGGATCAGATAGCACCTACCATTGTCGTTGCCCCATTGGTTTTGCTGGCAATGACTGTGAACACAGTGAGTATATATTGCTTATTGATCATTGTTTTAGCATTTTGTTATACTGGGAGTAATTAATACTTTTAATTGAGGAGATGAATAGTTTCATGTATTAAAATTAAAATGTTCTTAATAGGGGGCGGATTTTGATGACTTAAAGCACCAACCAATATGATCAATTAAATAGCCTTTATATATTTTAAGAGAGCTCTAAAAGAAAAAAAAAAAATTATGTTAAAAAAATTTGATCAAAATGAGTTCAGATGAGCAACTCAAGCTGTTGGATATGTTACCCAATTGTAGACCCTAATTAAGGCTTCTTCCTTTTGTTCAAGTGAACTCAGCTTGCAAACTTGGTTTGGACTGTTCTTTACCAGAAAATATCTGTCTTTAGTTATCGCAAAATTGGCCAAACCAACAATGGCACTGATAGCCATCAGAGGAATCTTAGATTAAGATTACTTACACACAATGGCTGACTTTACAATTTATGAGCAAAGAAATTGAGTAGGCGACTAAGAAATTTTGTGGAGAACATTTGTTACATTGCATAAATATTATTTGAAGCAATTACCTTAAAAAATGATATTACAACCAATTAAATCTGTGAAAAATGCTTTAACAATTATGGAAAATGCTCAAAAATGACTTATTAGTTGAAATCGATGAAAAGTGCAAAAAAGTTGTATAAAAATGAGTCATTTCCTTGTGTCCCTGTGTCATAATTAATTGTCCTTTTCTCATAATTAATATTTATTGTAAAACACATTGTTTAGAAAGAGAAAAGACAAAAAATGACATTTCATTAAAATCTGCTCCCTAATTATTAAAATTGTAAATAATCTCATCTAAATGCTTCAACTTTCTTAAAAAAATTCTTAGTTGCAAAACTTCTTTGTGTAGTATACTGAAATTAGGATCTGAAGAAAATGGTAATTCTTCGAACAACTTAATAAGTTAATAGAGTAAATAATGACTAATCTGGAATAATTGGGCCCTAAAAGTTTTCTTAAACAGGTTCTTAATGAATAAAAGAAGTTTGAGTGAGATTTCTTACTATTCTTACTGGGAGATACTTAATAATAGATAGAATAAGTTTTGATGAAATTTTACTAATAGATTATTTTTGTTTAACTTAAATAACTGAAAACTATGAAGAAAAAGACTACTAATCATTTACATGCATTCAGTCAAAAACAAAATAAGATATAAAGTTGTTGAAAAGTTACTTGAGCCGTGTAAAAATTCTTAAATAAAATCATGTATCATAGTTTGCCTCCGAATACACAATCAGCACTAGCACTTCTCAATTTCACTTCACAATCAGCACAATAATCCCTCCAGAAATTTGAAGAACCTCTGTAGTAAAAGAGAAAACTAACAAATTTTAAAGAAAATGGATATCGGATACAAAATATACAATTTGAAGTTTTAAGAGACATTCTACAAATACGAAATTATTTGTCAGTATCAAATATCTTTCTCCCTACTTTATTTTTTCCAGATGTTCCATTCACAACTGAAGCAGGATTTCGAGGAGATGGCTACTTAGAACTAAAAAATTCTTTACTACCTCATAAGAATCCTGATGATCAAGAAACAGTTGTTATTGAATTTTCAACACATGAACCCAATGGTCTTATCTTTTGGCATGGCCAATTGCCAGAAACTGATGGAAGAGGTCAAGATTACCTTGTTCTGGCAGGTTTGTACTGATTCTAAAGCAACAAGGATAAAACCAAAGCTCAGAAAACTTATTGTATTTTTATCACACATTTTATTCTAAAAATTGGCCGTTTGTCACATATTGAATATCTCCTAATATACTTTAAATGAGATTCTTAATTATAAGAAGCAAAATAAAATGTATTAAAGAACAACAAGAATATTTGGAATTATCACCTCAGCATAACTGAATTAAATTAATAAATTAGATTACAAACAAATATTTGTTTTCTAACTATTCAGAGATTTGTTTTCCCTTTTATTTTCTTCTCTTTTTCTTTTTTTTTCTCTTATCGTCTCCTTCTCTCCTCCTCCTTTCTCTCCTTCTCCTTCTTCATCTTCTTCTCCTTCTCATTCTCCTTCTTCTTCTTTTCTTCTTTAATATTGAATATTATTGATAGTTCTCTAGAGGATTTATTTAAGGAACCCAAGTGTAAAATATTTTAAACATTCCATTAACAGTTACATACTACCTATGTTTATTTAATATTTATCTATTGTAATCGATTTTCTAGGCTAAGAAATGTATACCATTCTATTATGACAGTAGAGCAGGGTTGTCCAACTGGCGGCACACCAGTCGCATGCAGCTCATGGTTCCATTTATTGTTCTGTAAAAGATTATTAGTAAATCAAAAGTAAAAGTCCCTGGCATCTATATCAAGCGAGAGCACCTAGCACACATGCCCTGCCAGGGTCAACACCCCCTTTAATGTAAAAATAAGTGAAGTTTAGTTTTAAGGATTTTTTTCTTCTTTTTTTTCTTTCTTTTTTTTCTTTTCCCCAAGTAAATGCAAAAATTCAAGATCACTGCTATGTTAGATGTGGTAGTGCCTGATATCTTACATTGTTCCGTTCTCTCCCTTCCCCACACCTGACCCCTACCTCCATTTGAAAGAAGCAGGGCAAAGTGCCAAGATCAACAATATGGGGATGGCTGGTGTGAATCACCTGAGTATTGAAAATGCGGCCTGCAACCAAATTAAAGGTTTTAGTTGTAGCCCTTGAGGCCTTGCTAGTTGGACACCCATACTGGAGACCATTGGAAAGAGAAAAAACTTTCTGGTTCTGGTTCTTATATTGTATTAATGTTGGTTTAGGTATATTGTGTTAATGCATGCTTGTAAAAATTTGTCTTAATTCTTATTCATTTCTTTGTTCATTAATATAAAAATTATGTGTTCCAGTGGTAAATGGTACTCTACAGTTCGGCTATGAATTAGGATCCGGTCCTGCTCTGATCACAGCACCACAGAGATATGTTGCTGATGGTCAACGCCATCGTGTGGTGCTTAAACGGCAGGCTACTGATGGAAATCTTGAATTAGACGGTGAAATAAGTGAATTTGGCAAGAGTGGTGGAATTCTTCAAATGCTTAACACTCGAGGCAATATTTATATTGGTAAGATATTTTATCATTATTTTCTTTGAAAATAAGAAAAGTGGGTATATTTTGTAGTCTCTATATAATAGTCAGCAACTATATGTATATTAATTTTTGTTTACAATTATATGATTTTTCTAACTGTGAAGGCAAGATCATACTATACAAAACACATTGGTACCTTCTGACTTTGGTAGCTGGCTGTTATGTGTAATGCCATCTGTGGCATCTTTGACACAGCTATGACAAATGCAACAATATTTCAAAATAAAATTAATAAAAATATATTACTTTTTTATTTTATAGGTGGAACACCAAAAATGGAACGAATGACTGCTGGAAACTACACATATGGCTTTAAAGGCTGCATACACTCAATAGAGATTCAAGACTCGGGCATTCTCAATTTAAGAGAAGAAGCATTGGATGGTGTCAATGTAGCTCCTTGTTCTCGGTATGAATTTTTATTTTTAGTTTGAATTGCTGTCCTTGATTAATGCTTTTCTTTTCTTCATGATGAAACACTTAAAATTCACTGGAATGGCTTGGGCAGCGATAGTGAAGTAGAGACACACGAGTCAGTCAGCCATTCAGTGGCGTGTTTTCAAATGTACATTTAAGCAAATGGTGGTTTTAATTTTTTATTTTTTCTTCTCCATTTCATTCATTTCTTTGAAATGAGCTTTGTCATACTCACAGACTTCACTATTTTTTGTTTTTGCAAAGTTATGTTTTCATTGATTGGTGTGTTATTATAAATGTTTCTAATAAAAGAGCCTGGAAGTTGAGTCACTTATTTTGCCTAAAATAAGCAGGAAAGAGGGTATTTATTTTTATTAACTATGCAGGCTAAATTACATTTAATTTTATATAAAATAGGGGTGTAAAAAAATTATGTAAAATACGATAACTATATTTTTTTTAAACGGTCAAAGAATTTTAATGATTCAATTTTTTTCTAACTGTGAAATTTACATTAATACTTACTTGGAAAATTGATCTTGCTTGCAACTTGTGACAGGATATTCTTCTTATACAAGTTTTAGACCAGGAGTTCTTGTACAGCTCCTATTGTTGATGCCATCAGATCCCAAGTGGGTGTCTGGCACCTCTTTTCCCATGAGATTATCCATTATCATATTTGGCATTCTGCCACACCCGTTCCTGCCATTTGTTCCGATAATCATGTATGTTGTCGAGAGTGGTGCAAATCTGGAGTTTAGCTCTGACATTTTCATATTTTTTGCAATCTAATTTGGAAACACTGGCAAATCTTCTGAAAAACTGCTTTTCAGAAACTTGTAATCTTCTCTCACATTTTGCAGTCACGGTCCACATTTCACTTGTGTATAAATAACCTGACTGGCATTGTCATTGTTTAGTAGAATGTCGATTGTGTGTTTTTTCTAGTTATTATTCTTTAATGTTCTTTTATATTTCCACACCTGAAATTAATCCTTTCTATTTTCCTATCACAGTTTTTTGTGATACGATTTTTGACAGCCTAGAAAATCAATGAAGAAATTTGCTCTATAATTCTTAAAATCTTTTTTCTTAAATGAAACATTTAAACAAGTTGATAATATAAAAATTATATTTTATGAAATAAAACTATGAATCTTGCAAATTTATCCAGTAAAATTTCAAAATTTGCAATTTTCTGGCAGCATTACCTAAAATGTGAAATAGTGTACAGTAACTTGCTAAACGTGCAATTTTGTGCAAAATAAATCAAGTACTAAAATAACATCCATTTCATGATTCAAATTTCTCTCAAAGTTTCATCCAATTTCAAGTTAGCAAAGAAAAGATACAATAACACAGATTTCTGGTCTTTAGTGATAATCCACCTGTGCTTGTAGTTAAAGACAAAACATTATGTTGTCCATATGTTCAGGCTTACAGACACGTTTCTACATTCATCGAGATTGGTGTCGGGAAAACTGAAAATAATGATGGAAAAGGAAAAAAAAATGTGAAAATAAGGCAGAATATTACAAATTGATTATTTGATTTCTATTGTTAAAAATCATAAAATGAGGAGAAGGCTTTCATGAAACTTCTGGGCTCTATACTTTACTGTTAGTTTTATAGATAGTTATAGACAGTCAGATTGACAATTCTACGGCTCATACTTAAGATGAGAATGACATTGATGTAAGAGGATCCAACCTACTTCATTCTTTGCTAGTTTTTCTTGCTTCTTCATAACACTGGCTTTCTTTTCTTGAAACACTTGCCTATGGTGCCCACTTTTAGTGCTTTTTTTTTTCAAGACGAGATTTTTGTATTGACTTTCCATATTTCATTTCTATCCACTTTTAAAATAACAAAAAATTCTCACAATGCTTTTGAATTAATAAATTTGTGTTGTTTATTAATAAAGTTGTAATTAGTCAGCTATTTGTTAAAATTTTATGGGAATGGAGATGTACAGCAAAATCCCTTTATTGGAGACATTACAAGAATGGAATTTGGTGTCTTATAAGTGGGAAGTAGGTAATTGATAAACACCTCTTTTGGAAACCAAGAATATTATATAATGAAAGTATGTTTCTCTTATAAAAGGGTTTCTTTTTAATGGGGTTTTGCTGTAGTTTCATTAGCCTAATGTATTTGCTTAACACTCAATTAATATTTAGCATGCTATTATACTTAAATAGAATCCTATGACTTTTTTGATATTGAAAATATTATACAAGAAATGTTGGTGACAACAAGTGTTTTGGGGAGCCGTGACTCCAAAAAATGAATTTTTCAAATATGTTTGTATGTTATACGCCTCTCTGTTTGTTAACAACACTAGCATTGAAACTGTATGCAGGATGTTTTTCTGAGTGGAAATTTTCTCATCTATCTGGCTCAACTTGAGTCCTTGCAAATTTAAAATAGGTCTTTTTTTAGGAGTACTTTATAGTAGAATATCTTCAAAATTTTTTCAAAAATTCTCCAAATATTTTCTTCAAATGTGTTGCTCAACATTTTGTTTTGTTTTACTACATGTTTGTCTTGCTTTACATTTTGAAATAATAGTCAAACAAGATTGTCTTCTAAACCCACTAAAGTTTTTCTTTCTTTTTTAAAATTATTATTTTTTTAAAGTAGAATAAAATGCTCTGAATCACATAATACTAACTCCATTTTGATTAAAACCTGTAATTTTAAAAGAATTAGTTCTAATTTATTTGGAATATCTCACAAGTTAATATTTACTTTCCATAAAAAATACATTTTGTTCTTCTATGATACTATTACAGTTACATTTCATTTATGAACTTTGTTGCTCCATTTTTGAATGTTCTTGCATTTTGTTCATTTCCATTGATTCTCTAATTTTTGTCACTATCTCTAGCTCTCCCTACCCTAGCTGTAGACCATCACTTGTTCTTGGGTTTGGTTCATTTTTTATTAGATTCAGATTTCTCTCTTTCTCTCTTTTTTTCCCCCGTAAAATACTAATTTTTAAATAGCATTGCTCTTTTATTTTTTGTGATTATTATGTTAAAAATTATGCTTTCAGTATGATTATTTATAATTTGATGGTATAGTCATTATTGTTATTTGAAAAAAAATGGTTTGTTGAGTTAGTACTTCAAAGAAAACAAAATTATGTAGGTCAATATATACATTTATAGAACAAAACACAGTTAATCAAAAGTACTCTGAAGAATTGTAAGGAAAATATATTTATTGAGAATCACTCCAAATATGATGCAACTGTAGAAGAAAATCTATTTTAGATTTCTTGTAACACTGGAATGATTTATGCTCTTTTTTCCTGATTTGGTTCTCTTAAGTCTCAATGAGGAGTTACAAGCCTAAGCATGTTCAAGTATTAACATTTTCTTCCTTTCTTGTTCTACTTGCTGCCTGGAAATGTACAACATGATCATGGGGCATGCTGTGGCTTTTGTTACCTGCACAACAGTTCACGCTGGGTTCCATCATCTCTTGTTCTCATGACCGGAGAGAGTGCCGGAAGTGAGAAAGGCATGCCTGTGGTGCACACAACACATGGTGCTGCATCTCTTTCAACTAGTGCTTCCCTGCTGAGTCTCTGTTTCAGCACAATACTTCTTGCCTATCAAGCACTTTGAAAATTTTGTGGGAATATTGTTACCATTTGGGTTTGTATATACTAGTGGTTTTGGAAATAATGCTCTGCAAATAATCTTACTTGGACAATGAACACTAATTGGAAAAAGGAAATGTAATACTCAGCAACACTGAAAAAAAGCATGTAACATCTGGACTTCATAATAGATGAATTTTTGCTTGTTACTGGATGAGGTTCTGGGCTTTTCTATGCCTAGCAATGTTATTTAATTGTCAATATTTTAAACATTCAGTGTTCATTGCATACAAAGTGGTTTGGGTATAATACAACAGACATGAAGATAAACATTTCTGTGAAGTATGAAAAAATTCCTTCCTATGTTCATCGTACAAGCAAGCATTTACTTCGGAAACAATTTAATGAAGACATTCAGTTTCTAATGAAGCAATGACTCGCATAAAGTGTTTCTTGTGTCTGTATAGAATTGGATTCTCTTTTTCAGTCACGTTTCAGAAGCTGACAATGAAATTACACCACGGATTCACTAATTGGATGTTTTTTCAATGAGAAGCATCAAGAACGTGTGCATGAATTCTAAACACAAAGTTGTATTATCAGCCTGGAAAGACATTTGGTGTGTATGTGGCAGTTACAATTGCAAGAAGATGAAAACTACTCACTTCTTCAGAATGTTGGGAATGTGTGCTTCTTTGTTAACCAGGTATCCTAGTAAAGAGGCTTCCAGACCTCATTTGCCATAGCTTTACATGGTAACTTTGCATTCTTCCTTATTTTCAAGGAGATACTGAGATCCATAATAGTCATTTAAATAAGCTGGCAATATTAATTCATGAGTTGGAAGCATCTCACTCAAAGGGTCCCAATATAAAATTAATTAGGCATTTATTTGTTTATTTTTTTAATGTTTGCAGTAAATCTATTGCTATTTATAAGTGTATTAATCTTAAGTAATAAGTTATACTCCTTTGATTTTTTCCCCTGTATGGTTTGTAATATATATTTTGCGGATGAGATTTGTACATAGAATACTTTAAGATGAGTCTTGTTGTGGGTTGTTCTTTTGAGACTCTAATGTGTAAATTCCATCTTTTTGAAATGTGACATGTGTCACTGCTACAGCACTGCCCAATTATATCTGTAAGAGACATTATTGCAGGCATGTGTCAGTTCATGCTGCCATCTGTTCTGTTCCTGGCAAATACTGTACTTCAGAGAGAAATTTTGTGTTTCATGACATAAGGAATCATAATTCTGGTTAGAGCATTAAATATAATATGTATATGTTCCTACTGCACAAACACATCAGGTTATAAAATTTCAGAGTATTAGTGATAGAGGATACATCACTGGTTAAATAAATTATTTCTTTTCAATTTTTTTGTCTTGTGTTGTGATTAAAACTCAAAATTACTCTCATGTGCAAGTTTGTTGTTTAATGATCGAGTGAGTAAGTAAATTCACTATGATTGAGATAGCTTACTTTATAATTAATTCAACTAGATCTGCAAAGTAAATTTTTGTTAGTATTATTCTTCTCTTTTTTTCGTTTCCACAAGAGTGATTCAAGTAATAATAACACATTTTTAACAAAGAATTGGCAGAGGAAGAGTATTATTTTTCAGATTTTCCTTTTATATATAAAGAGATTTTGTTTTAAGAGTTGCACTTCCTTTGCTGTCAACTTCTGGTGCCTTTAATTAATTAAATTTATCAGAACACTCTTGTGAAACAAAATACTGCTTTCTAGCATGACATGCGTACTGAAAATAGATGCACGTGTGTTGAGTTTTATACTGCCATTGTATTTCTGTATACACCCCTTGGTCAAGAGCATGTGATAATTGGAATGCTGGTGAATATAATTGTGTGCCATTTCCATTTTTTATCATGTAGTTGTTGTTTTTTGTGGTCATGTTTTATGTTATTGTTTTTCCAATTCACAAATCAAGAGACAACATCAGAGAATTTTTTTTCTCAACACTGTGTCTGCACTGTGGATTATCAGGGATAAATTATAAAAGTCTACCCTGCAAGTGATCGTGATATAATGTGTACTGAATAGTTTTCCCTTGAAATTTTTTCTCCTTACTTCAGCAAACTCTATTATATGCATTGGAAAGTGGAAATTGAAAAGATCTATGTTATTAAAAAATGGAGATGGAAGCAAAGCAAAAAACATTTACCGTTTTGTAAACAGTAATTCGTAATTAACATTCAATATAGTGATGTTATCTGTGTTTTAATTTTGGAAAGCTATTTTATGTAAAATGATTTCCATTGAATAATGCAAAATAACTCTTTTGACAATAAATACTAAAGTGGTGTTTTGACAAAATCTGCTGTCATTTATCAACCCTTTGAAGGATTTTCCAACTTCTATTATCTTATTAGTTTTTTATATTCTTTGGACATAATTTCACTCTTAATAAAGTGCTCTGAGGAAATTTGCTGATTCATCTATCTGCATCTTCATAGAGTATTGGAACAAACACCTCAGAGATGCTAAAGAATTAAACTTTAGTTTCAGAGATGACTGATTTAAATAGTCCTTGTTTTTGTACAATGGGTTCATGGGCTGGAATACTGACACAATTTGAAAAACATTAATGTTGAACTTTGACCTTTATTTTATAATATTTATTATTAACATAACTTCTATGCACTCTTCATTGGGGCTAACTTCTTATCCATCAGCTAGCAGGAGTGGATTGAGATAGCATTGGGGTAATTTCAGTTTAAACTCTTATCTGAATATTTTGAAATATTTTTTTAATTGTTTGCTTAGACTAAAAATAATGCTGTCTTCATCATGAATACTTATTGGATATGATGTGACCAATATATGGTATTGTTTGGAATAAATTTTGAATTTACAAGGAAATGTAAATTAGTAAGCTACATTTCACAGCTAGCAAAAACTTTGAGTGCAGTTGTGTGAAAATGAAACTTCTGGAATTGTCCCAATATTGCAGCTCTTGGACAATGTGAATGCAAGGCATTACAGGAAGATGAATTTGATAGAGCATTCTGGCATTAGTTCAAAACTAATTTAATTTTCTGCTGCTGAGAAATACTTTTAATATCATTTAAGTCTACACTGTTTCAGAAAAAGCAATACTGGTAAATTGTGTTATTACAATGAAATATTTTGTAGCCGTGAACATTATGTTAATTGTTTCTTCATGCACTTCTTTAAATACATGGATACATTATATTTTGGATATAAAAATTTTAATTGCAATTGAAGGTTAGGAATGGATATACATTTAGAAGAATACATGATATTTAAATGCAAAACCTAACAACAGGGGTTTGTGTCAGAGTCAGGCCAATATCTTCAATCTTACAAATTTCATACTGCTTACATTTTACTAATTTATTTATTAGTGAAATAGGAGGTAAACAGAGCATATACCAACGGTGGTGTCAACATACTGCAAAACATCTTGCTAAAAATGAAGGCAACTTACAACTAATTTTTTTATTATGATCGAGTAATAATTGTAACTGTGCTTTTTAATTAAAACTATATGTCTAGCACTGCAAAAGAGATTATGTTCCATGCAATGACATTTCACTCAAAATCTGTCACACCATTCAGGAGAGAGAGGAAATAAAAAACACTCTTATATTCCAGAAACATTACCCTCTTTTTTCATTTGCGCTTTTGGATATTGCCAAATGAAATGTTCAATGGTGCACAGGGAGGAAGGGGGGCATTCATTTCATTTAATAACTCAATTGAATACGTTGCAAGGAAACAGCAAATACTAGTCAAATTTAAATTCAGCATAAATGAAAAAGTCTTTGTTAAAAAGCATTAAGTTGTCTGGAATATTATATCTACAGCCCTACTCTCTAGAAAAATGGTTATTGCACTATTGGAAATTTGGAAAAAGAGTTAGACTCAAAGTCAATGTAAGAAAATGTTTGAAACTGAAACATACACGTATTGAATTGCGAATATTGCTTCCTCATTTGCCTCTTGTATAAAATTAAACTAAAAAATTTTAGAGGGGAAAATGTCCCTCCTTTTGCTCCCTGTTGTTCTGCACCTGTTATACTGACTCTCAACAAATGTAGTGATCTTCAATGAGGGACAGATCCAGCCAATCTTTTTGGAGGGGGCCATCATAGATTTTTGTTAAATAATAAACATATTTGTTATTACGTTGTATATTATTTATGTACTGTAGTTATGATACTATATAATATTATTGTGTAAATAATTACATAATTCGAACATAAATGAATATTGAAATCAATTTTGCGAAAACAAGGAAAGTAAACACCATCCCTTGGCCTCTCCTTATCTGCCACCATTCTGCTTCACTGCTCCTTATTCCCATGAGAGCTTCACCTACCAGCCAGATGATAAAATTTCTCTAGGCAAGTCTGACATGAGAATCCTGAATCCTGAAACATTGGTGTATTCGATTTTCATTGATTATTTCCTTTGGGTCATAGGATTCTTTCCAATGCGGTGCTATGGGTTCTGGGCTGAAATAGTTCAGAGTAAAAGCTGAGGGTGGTCAGCACCACCATTGGGAACTCACCAACTCCTTTAGAGGGTTTTGCTCATGAACAACTTGTGTTTCATATCAATCTAATGTTGCCTGTGAAAATGTGCAACGTATTTTAACATGCAATATTTAATTGTCCCAAGATGCACTAGTTTTTATGATTCCTATAACTGCTGGAATCAGACACAAGGTGAGTCCCTTCATCTCCAGCCCTAAATGTCAGGTACTGTTTTTGTCGTAAAGATAGAATATAAAATTGTATGGCATGTTTTAACTATTGTCTTAATTGGATTTTATCTAAGGAGATCACTAGCGGCTCTTATAACATTTGCATTTAAACAGTGGTTACTTATGATAAAAAAAACTAGAAATGTTTTTATATTGTTCATAACAATTGTATACTAACTGAAAACTAGAAGGTATTTTAACTAGCAGAAATAAGAGGCTAATACTAGCAACTTTGAATACCTAAACTCAGAATACTATGACTACAGTTATTGAATCCAATCAATTTATGAAGATTCATGACAACATATTAAATATTTTTCAGCAATAACATATCTCCTTTTTTTACCTATTAGGACCAATCATTTCAAAATTTTCATCTTTCAACACTCCCCACAGTTATTCCTTCTTCATCTTTGCAATGCCTTTATTTTAAGTCATGTTGCTGGACTGCACTCCACCATGTACTTAACTTAGTCAGAAATTTTTATGTGCATATAGCCTAGTACATATTCCTTTTATTTTTCTTGTAAAGAATAACAGTTGTGCTTTTTATTGAATTGGGTACAGTTTTTAGTTATTCCTTTTTTTGTAACTTTTATGTTCTTTCTTCTTTTTACCAATATTGTAAATATCATTTTTGACTTCTTCATTCTAAAGTAATAAATAAAAACATTTTCAGTTGCACCTGGTGAGGGAGAAAGAAGTCTGAAATGTCAAATTTCATAGAATAAAATTAAGATATAAATTTTGGATGTATTTACTGTGGTTCTTAATTATAAAAGGGCTGAAACATATTAGAAAATAGTAATTGTATTTGTGTTGATAGCAGGAGTATAATTTTGACCAGCGTCATACATAATTTTAGACATAAATACATTCAGTGCATATAATAAATATGCTAAACTGTTAAGAATGATTATGACAATGAGGATAATGATTTACATATATTACTTGTATTAATTTGTTCAATTTTTGCATCTGGGAGCTAGAGATTCACCAGGGAAGTCATGTAGCAGACACAGTTGTAGTTCTTCTACAGAAAATGCTTTGTTTATCAAATATTTTTGTAGATCTAATATGAAATTTATGTTCTGTGATATTTCTATAGTGCTGCATAGCTTATTGAAAAGTTTTATCTCAGAATGGTGTTGATTTAATGCATATCTATCTCAGGCATGCTAATAAAATTGAAATTTCTCACGCAGATCTTGTAAATCACTCCATTAAATTATTGAAATGGTGTAGCATCCATAATGTTATACTTATTTCAGTAAATAATTTCGTATGAAGGAGACTGAGTGTGAAGCCATGTCTGCTCGGCTTCCGTAGGTCGCGCGCTTGACGTCAGAATCTGTCCCGTGGGCGTGATGGGCCACACTCCGCCCCATGATACTTTGACATGGTTATTGCATCATACTCCGACTCCAGGAGCGCCGGTTAGCAAACAATGGCGTCCGATTGAGTTAGGAGAGGCGACTTTTTTTTTCTTTCTTTCTTTTTTTTAATTATCCCCCCCCCCTCGCGAATAGGCCGGCTTGGACCACGCGTGCGTGCATGCACCCTGCTTTTACCGGAGCTCAGTACCATTATCTTAGTCAGGGCCGGATTTAAGTAGTGCGGGGCCCCAAGCACAAAATTGTGTTGCCCCCCCCCAAACAAATAGCTCCATCTTTATTAAATAAAAAATGTATTATAGTACTTTCTGTACAGATACAAATGAAAACTGATACTTTTTATAGAAAGTTTAACTTGTGTTACATTTTTTTACATTAAATATATTTTACATATTTTTTTTCTGCTCTTCACTGCAGGAAATTGGTCGATGATGTCTTCAAAACGAAGATTTCTCAGCTTATCATGCTCCATACTCAGGATACGTAGGTCTACTAAATTTCTTGAGGCATAGTCGTACGTAGATAGTTTTGTATCCGCTTCAGTTTACTGAATGACCGTTCTCCAGTACAGTTTGATATCAAGCACAAGTACATTCGTACATTTTTTCGAAACGCGGGGCCCCTGGTGAATGGGGGCCCCCAAGCAACTGCTTGTTTTGCTTGTAGGTAAATCCTGCCCTGATCTTAGTGACTGGGTCATGTAACTTTTTAATAGGGGATCAGCATTTAGCTGAATCCGGTTTTTATCCCCCAGGGTTGCCCTAGGGTTATGGAAGGTGAAATGATGATAGTGAGGAGATAAAGGACACATTCACAAACACACATTCACAGATACACCCATGTCCGAAGCGAGGGATTCAAACCCGCGACCCTTCAATCTGAGATCGGTACGATACTACCACTACTGCCTTAGCGATCTCAGTCATGGGGTCGGACCTTTATTTTATTACTTTCCCGTATACGTGGGTATAAGGAAAGTTATGTTGTGCTGCGGAAAATCGATTTCAAGATTTCGACGAAATTCACGAAATACACCTGTGAAGGTGACATTGGTGACACCTGTGAAGGTGACATAATAATGAAACATAAACATAATGAACCATTTTTTTCAAAACTTTTGTTCACATTCTTTGCGTATGTAATTGTTATCAAGTCGTTTATATGTAAGTATATGTGTTATGGTTACTTTGAATGCTGTTTATTATAGAAAATGTAAAGGGGGTCGATAAATAAAATCTTTCTTTTGAGAGTGGTTGATGCAAGAAGGAGGTTGGGCTTCCCTGGCTTACAGAACAATGCCTTTGCTTTGCGCGAATTAACAATGACTGCTAGACCCATTGATATGAGTAAAAGAAAGACCTTACTGATGTACGGTTTGAAGGAAGGCGTGTAAACGCGTTACTTTAAACCATTAACTTCATCTGAACGACGGATCCAAAACCATCGTTGCTACAACGGGAGGAAAACAAAAAAGTTTATCATTTTAATGTTCATGGTACAATAATGGTGGAAAGAAATGGTGGGCTCCAGTGCACCGGGTTTTGCACATTCTACGCAGCGCCAATCTACAACAAGTATTGTAGTATAATTTCTATGCCAATGACCCCATCTCGATCAGGTTTTGTTCAGTTTCCCTGGTCCCTGGTCCTGGCAAATGCTGAGATGGCCTCTTGTTTGCTCCTGAACAGTAATGTAACTTCGCTCTCTCCACCCAAGACATCATATTGACTCGTCATACACGATTGTAATTGTAGATGTGAGTCAATAAACATTATTATTATTATTATTATTATTATTATTATTATTATTATTATTATTATTATTATTATTGTGTCGTGAACATCCTGACCGCAACACGGGCACTTCGTTTGAAAAGCCAGACCAGACGTTGGCCGCCATGTTCCATGAAGAGTGAGAAGTGTTGAGATACATTTTGAAAATGGCATAAACTGACAATTTTCAAAGCAGACCAACCAAAAATTACACGAATGTGTAATTGAAATAAAAGATTCAATATTTAAAACGGGCTCATTTCAATGACATAACGTGGTGATAATTTTAGTATTTCAAGTCCCTGTTAAAATTGTGACGCAAACTGGAACCTGAAGTTCATTGGCTGCAGTGGGATACGATACGCACGAGCCATCCTCTTTCAACCATTGGTACAATAACTGTATACGTGAAGACGTAGGCTTAGTATGTGTACAATAACTTTAGTGGAATGTAGTTGAGTGGAATCAATGTGGTAGGTAAAATATTTTGTTAGCCTCCCTGGACAATAAGCCCCAAAACCCGTGCTACTAACGACCCTCATTTGTTAAGAGCCATTGGAAGAGATACGTGAGAGAGTTAGGGTTATTTACGAGAGAGATATTACTAACGATCCTTGCAGCGGATACAGCTTTGTACAACCACGGCTTTTATTCCCTCCATTGATTCTCAAATTCATTCAGCAGTAATTGTTAGTGAATTTGTAATATTTTTTCAACAAAATTTACATTCTTTGAGCAACGATTCGTGTAAATATTCCCGCTGTTTCCACGCCTTCGGCGGTATTTGCAGCATAGACAAACATTTGTGAGTGCCCTGTGGTTTGCAATCAGTTGTCTGAAAGTGGAGCTGGCAGTGGAATCAGAGTACAGGTATTGAAAATGTGATACATTGTGGGCGAATTCTCATTTCTTTTTTTGTCCTCGCTCATTTCCTACCCTTCGTGAGCATCTCTGATTTGCTATGATGAATGTACGACCATAGCAAAGGGGGAGGGGAGCCAGCGGGGCCGTTTCCTTCCTGAATATTTTGGGAGGGGTCTCGTAGTTTCACGTAATAAAACATTTTATGTGTTTAATTTTAATTTTTTAATGTATGTATTATAAGGAAGTCGTAGGCTTCCGCGGCCACAGTCATGTGCGTGATCTAGGCTGTTCGGGTGACGCGTATGTTTATAAGCCAACACTTGTACTGTAGTCGTTAACTAGCTATTTTTCAATAATTAAAATGAATTTTTGTGTTTATTTATGAATTACTTATTCATTTTTTAAAACTAG